GCATTTTCTTTCAGTTTATTTTTGTTTCTATACTTTTCCCGCAGTTTTCTATCGCGAAAAGGAATAAATTTGTCTTCGCGATGCCATGGAAACAATAAAACTAAATACAACAACGTTGATGAAAGCCAGTAAAGATCTAGGACTCGAGATAAATACGGATAAGACAAAATATATGGTTAGCTGCAAAAACAGCGACAATTTCGATGATATCGATATAGAAAGGAATTTGTTTGAACACATGTAGAATTTTAGGTATCTAGAGTCTAAAATAACTAGAAAAAACAAAATTGAAGAGGATATAACCTTAATATCCTCGCTGGAGGCGGGAAATGCTTGTTATTTTTCTTTGTCAAAATTACTTAGATCTCCCCTCCTATCCCGAAACTTAAAAATTGAATTTACAAAAGGATCATCCTACCTACGGTTCTTCATGGATGCGAAACGTGACCTCTTATATTTAGGGATGAGCAACGTCTTAAAGTTTTGAAGAAAAAAAATATTGCACAGAATATTCAGACCGAAAAAGGACGACACAACTGGACAATTTAGGTGGTTACACATTGGAGCAGACGGTGGGTGACGATTCCGAAAGGCAGTACCTTAAGAAAATACTTCCCCACCGTTGAATCTCGGTTACAGACGAAATGGGTCCTCCCGAACTATTGGGTTTCACAATTTCTCACGGGGCATGGGGGTTTCAGAGCTAAACTTCATGGCTTCGGACAGGATATAGATCCCCACTGCCCCGATTGTGGTGTTCCGGAGACTGTTGAGCATGTGGTCACGGCCTGCACTGCTTTCGACGAATTAAGAGCTAGGTTAATGAGAACCACGGGAATTTACGTTCTCACTGAGGAAGAGTTTCCTCAGTTGGTGAGTGAAGAAAACTTCTCGCTTTTCAAAGAGTTTATAAATGGCTGGAAGACGGCTCACTTCAACCTAAGTGCACGCAGAAGGAGAAGAGGATCAGTCCCAGGAAGACCTCCGGATTCGGGAAGCCAGGCCTAATTTGTTGAAGAATGAGGAAAAGTAGAAGAGCTAGCTGTGTGCACAGCTTAGAATTTTGTAAACCGATATTATGGCAGTAGTGTGTTATTATGCATTAATGCTTAACATCACACTACTGCATACACCCGTGTTGCCCTGGTGGCATGGGAGGGTGGAAAACAAATAATAATAAATAATAATAAAGGTAGCTACACAACGCTGAATTGCTTGAACGGTATATGATTAATATAATTGAGGTGATTAAGTTGAGGCGAATAAAATGGGCATGTAGAATCGCTGGGCTAGTAACGAAAGAATTTCTGAAAAAATAATATGCGCTGTACCGACTGGCAAGCGTCCAAGGGGTGTAACAAAGTGAAGGTGGGTAGATTGCATTAAGGCTAATTTGACCGTTGGGTTTAGACGGAGCTCGGTGGATGGAAGAATGTGGAGACATCGATTGGTGGTATCGGCATCGAACCTTCGGGTTCGCTAAGCTATTATTATTTACCAGATATAAATTTATTTAGATACAGGTAGGAATTTTTTCTTGTTTGTTTTTTGCAAAGCTTTCTTGAATGAATTTACCAGATAAATACGGAAACTTCAAATTACCTCAGCTCATTTTTGTATTCATCATTAGCTAACAGTTCAAAGAATATTTTTATTACAATAAGAAATTAGCTGTCGTTGGCGAATGGTACTTTCAGATGAAAAAACGAAATTTCATCCGTTGAGTGTACAGTGGCTTAATAATACAGTGGGGTCATATGGAGTCGATTTCTGATTGGTTGGCCATCTTGGATCCTCCCTTGCTATCTGCTTGCTCTATAGGCACCTCAAAACTGTTAATTTTTCATATTTTATTAGCAGTATTTTCGTTTAGAAGCTTAATTTTGTTGTTTAAGTGATAGGTTTAGTTTATTAATAGATAGTTTTTAGTGTTTAAAGTGATAGTTTTGGTTTCATGTTCAGTGATAGGTTTCATCTTCACAGACTCCTATTTTATTAGTGATATTTTGTTTGAAAGTTTAATTGTGTCGTTTTAGTAATAGATTTAGTTTACTAATTGGTAGTTTTTATTTAATATATATATATATATATATATATATATATATATATATATATATATATATATATATATATATATATTAGTGTTTAAATACTAATATTGAGACTTGCGCATGACCAAGACCCGTCATGGTCTCGCATTTGGGCAACACTAGTTGTGGTGTTCAGTCACAAGTAGCTAAGTAAAAATAAATAAATTATATTTATTAAATTTACATTAAATAATTTGTTTTTATTAAATTTACATTAAATAATTTATATTTATTAAATTTTAGATTAAATAATTTACATTTATTTAAAGTTTTTTTTTTTTCAAAGGCGAATATTAAGAAGAAAAATAAAAATAGTTCCATAGTTGCTAACTTAGAATTGAGCTTCTAGTTTTCCAATGAAAGTTAATTTTCACTCAGTTTTAATAATTATATAAATTTGTTTGTGAAATTTGCCAATGAGAGAGTAAGATGAATAAATGGAAATCTTAATATGCCGAAGTTTATTGGAATATATTTTAAAAGAAGTTAAATAGAAAAAAAATATTGTTCTTTGATTTTATTATTTATTTTCGAGTGATGTAAGTGATTCATATGCTTCATTCAGCTTGCTCAACTTCAATTCTATCTCCCAAACAATTCTAGTTAATATTTTGTTGCAATAATTCCTTTTTAAATTGAAATAACAAAGAGAGACTATTCAAATATTAGTTTCCCGCCGATCCAATATGGCCGTCCCATCCGTATGATCGCACTGTATTATTAAGTCACTGTAGTTGAGTGATACTTTATTCTACCGAACCGGCGTAAAGTAGAACTAATTTTGGCGGACAAAAGTCTATCTCACAATTCTCATCCATTCAATCCTCGTTGCTTACTAAGATAGTTGAATAGTCCAATAACAGTAGTAAAAGTTTTGGAAACTAATTTATAAACACTTTGTATCCATGATGCAGGTAAAATCTGCATTAAAAGGAACAAGATTTGAGTCCGTTGAAGATTTTAAAGAGAAAGCGACACACGTCCTGAAGGTGCGTCTGATTAAGACTCCAACACTGTCTCAGGCAATGAAAAATTGTAGATCCCGATGCAGTTCAGAATATCACCTGATGCTATTCACACACACATGCTGATGCCATTCGCCTCCTTATCTCAACCGAAACGGCATTATTGCATTAACCTGTGATTCCCAAAACAACTTGTTCGAATGTGCAAGAACTAACTCAGATAATGTATTAACCAATACATCTAGCTTGACTATCAATCATATATCTTCTAGAGGTGTTAACTACAAGAATGAGCTTCCAGGCAACGTTCTTGAGGGCAAGAAAAGCTTTTTCCACTATATTTTTTGATCACCCAACAATGTAGATGCCATCGGTATATCCTAGAATTTATAACATACAATTGAAGATTGATCCATTATTCTATACCATAGACCCTGCCTCAAGTTTTTCAAACCAATATTGAACAGCAGATAGGCAAGGCAATCTCCTTGTCGAACACCAGTTTACATTATAGAACAGAAACATCAATATTAATTATTTTTACATTTTTCTTATGTATCTGCAAAAATATTAATATACTTACTGTATTTGTAACTTGTTCTAAAGGGACATTAGTCCCAGAATAATAAAATTGTTTTCATTTATTCATTCATTTCCTGAGGAAAATAGATTTCCTTAAGATAGATGCTCTTGAACTTACACCATACACTCAATATTCCTTATTGTGAGTTTTATAGTAGGTATATTGGGATCTCCTATTGCTTAATACTGAGGCTCATGTTTTATGCTATCGTAAGCAGTTTTAAAATCAAGAAATAAATGTTCCCTTTGGAATGGTGTTCTCAATCTCACTCTAAAATAGTTCGTAAGGTGATTATTTGATGATTATTTCACTCAATTTCATTCATCATTTCCCTTCTTGTGAATATAACCCATAACAGTTTTTCTTATTCCAAGCTGTCGGAACGATTTCATCAGTCCAGATTACAAGAAGATTTTACAATGCTTGGAAGAATTAATCTTCTCCTTTCTTGATTATTCGGCAGATTGTCCCAGCTTGATGCCTTGTTATTTAGCTTGGCAATGATTTTGACAGTTCTTTTTCATTTGTGGTCTTGAGTTCATTTATGGGAATTCGATTAAGATCAACTTCTTCCAGTGCCTGATTTTAATTAAGCAGGTAGTTGAAATGGCTATTAAAACTTCATAGTGTACTCTAGTGTTTTTCATTCAATAGTGGTCCATGTGAATCCTTACTGGTTAAAATTCAAGGTTTTAATGGTTTTCAACCTCTGTTTCCTTTTTGTAAAATGAATGACACCCATTAGTGCTCCTTAATCTTTATATGTCCTTAAGCTCTTTTTTTTTTCTATATTTCTTTTTTTGCATCGATCAATGGGCTTTTGTTTAAAATATTAATAATTGGACTAAATTATTACAAAACCAGTGTGTGATCATACATTATTCATACCAAAAAAATGCTTATATTATTTAAACAAACTTTTATATAAATTATATAAAATTTCATTATAGATATTGCTGAAAAAAAATAGGTGAATTTTTTAAAACTTAAATTGTTTGTAAACAATTATAAATACGTAGAGTTAGAGTTAGTAGAGTTAAGTGTTCAGAAGAAAAGGGGGAGTAGAAAGTATTGTGTTCATATGATTTTATTTCATTTCTGAAATGAAAAAAAATAAAATGTTCAAAGTAGTAAAAAACAACTGAATGCTGAAAAGAAAACTTCTTGAAGATAATTTGTAAAGAATCCATCGCTTGTATTGAAAATTATTAAAAGGAATAAAACATATAATAATGCAATACTTGTGGAAGAGACTTTGAAAGAATTAAGAAAGCTTGAAATTTTTTGTTCTTTAATTCATAATAATTGCTTTGTTAAAAATAGCAATGTTTTTATTTTATTTTTTTTAAATTAAGACAATATATGTCATACTTACACAAAACTTTGGTGGTTTCAGATGCCCATCTTCCGCAAAATTACTCGATGCGTCTTAAAACGAGACCAGAATGGTTTTCAACAAAAACAGAAGTCAAATGTGACCCTCTTCGTTTCCATCCTCCCAAGTTTGTCATTGTATCACATACAGTCACAACAAGTTGTAAGAAGCAAATCAACTGTGAAAACGTAGTGAAAGAGATACAGGTGTATCATATTGAAAAAAAGGGTTTTTGTGATATTGCTTACCACTTTCTCATTGGTGGAGACGGATATATTTATGAGGGCAGAGGTTGGGGAATGAATGGCGCCCACACTTACGGATTTAATTGCGGCAGTATTGGAATTGCGTTTTTGGGAAATTTTGACGTGCAATATCTTAGTCCGGAAATGGAAGAAGCATTCCACATGATCATTGAAGAAGGATTGAAACTCGGTGAAATAGCTGAGGACTATAAGCTTTTCGGACATTTACAACTCAGAAATGGTTCTGAAAGTCCTGGTGTTCATGTGATGGAAAAAATTAAAAAATGGAAACATTGGTCTGAACCAAAAACAAAGGATCCTATTTGTTAACAATGTTGAGATGATTTTTTAAGAACTTTATAGTTTAGACTGTGTGTTATATTAAAGTACTGATGAGTTATCTCTTTAAATATGAAATACCCACGATGAATGTGATATTTTGAAAAAATATCCATTGGCAGCTCTTGTCTTGATTAATATTAAAGAAAGAAAGTCTTGCTTAATATAAAGAAATACTCTAAAACAGTAATTTTTGCAGATATATAAGAAAAATTTAAAAATAATTAATATTGATGTTTCTGTTCTATAATGTAAAATTCATTATTAGCACTTAATCTTTCTTCAGTAAAATGAACAAAGACAAACTAATTAGATTAAATAGTGAATATACATAGATGAGAATTTTCATGTAAAACTTTGGTATTTTCAGATTTTCATATTACACACAATTACTCAATGCGCCTTCGAACGAAACCAGAATGGTTTTCAGCGATACCAGATGTTGAATGTAAACCCCTTCCCATTCATCCTGCCAAGTTTATCATTGTATCACACACTTTAACTACAAATTGTTATAAAGAGATTAACTGTCAAAATGTTTTAAAGGGAATACAGGCGTATGATTTGAAAAATAAATTGTGTGATATATCCTACAACTTTGTCATAGCTGGTGATGGCTATATTTATGAGGGCAGAGGTTGGGGAAAATATGGTGACCACACCTATGGCTTCGACTGTGATAGTATTGGAATCGCATTTTTGGGAAATTACGACTTGCAACATTTGACTCCTAAAATGATATCATCCTTTCAATTGCTGGTAGAAGAAGGATTGGAGATGGGGGAAATTGCTCAGGATTACAAACTTTTTGGCCATTCTCAAGTAAGAGAATCTAAAGGTCCTGGTATTCATGTGATGGAAATAATTAAAAAATGGAAACATTGGTCTGAACCAACACCTGAAGATCTTCTGTGTACTTCATTATAATGCTGATGTAATTTAATTATTTCAGGAGTGCTGTAGCTCAGTGTATAAGGCACTCCAATACTTCAGATTCTGGGTTCGAGTGTGGATGTAGCCAGCAATTATTTATTCCGTTAAATCACTCACAGATAGACTCTGGAATATGGAGATCTTCCTGAGGCATGTCCACTCTCTATAAAGTGGATAGTATTGATTAAATGATTAATTAAGGGGGAAATATGGCAATTGAGTGTGATCTTGATCCAATCACCTCCTTGCATAACCCTTGACCAAGAAACAGTACAAAAGTACTGAACCCAAGACTCTCTCCATGGGTTGTAGTAGTGCTGTTTTTTTATTGGTAATTTAGTTATCTGCGAATAAAGCATTAAAATGATATACTTATTAGTTGCTACTTTAAGAATTAGAATTTTTAAGTTGGATTTACATTGTTGTATTGGCTCATGGCTAGGTCAACCATGATGTATATTGTAAGAGCTCCTTGTGATATTCATTAATTTAAGACTGATACTGATTACTGTAGATTATAGTCATAAAAAACTTTCTCAGAAGAAAAAATTTAGAATCTATCGTAAAATTGTACTTTGTAGTAAATATTTTAGATAAATTTTAATATTCTTTACTCTAGAATTATATAAATCTATCATTTTAGTTAAGAATTGTAGTTTATACTGAAGTTGTAATAATAAGAGAGAAGCATACTTACTGTTTGGTAGGGCTGGAAGAGAATTTATTTCTGTTAATTGAACATGGTTTCAGGTTTAAAGAAAATTTTGTAGGATAAAAACAACGGTAGCTGATAGTGTACCAATATCTGACATCCTTTTTGAAAAATGGAAGTGATGAGATTCCAGGACCTCCTACACCTCTATATCATAGATTTTTATATTTCAATATTTTCTCCTTGTATATTTGTTTGTTGCATTGCTTTAGTCGTGCTGGAAACCATAACCGAAATAATGGATGAAAAATTAGGAAGGTCCCTCAAGATTCACTTATTGTTTCAGGAACAAAGATCCACCAGTAAGGGCATCATACCTTATGTTTGCCTTTTTTTCTTTAATTACTTTGATTTATCCTAAAATTTTTGTTTTTTATACTATGTTTTATCTTTTTTAAACTCAGGGTGTCAGATATTAGAGCCTTATAATGGGGTCTTTCGTCAGTAGATGATAGGCCTGTACTCTATTAAATTCAAAGAGATATACTTAATATAAAGGATCTAAAATATGAGTATAGTCTTAAATATACCATTCACTATTCATTCGCAATAACAAAAAATTACTAGTGATTTGGATTAAATATAAAGGAAAAATAGATTTGCCTGTTGCCAAAAACATGTGACAGTAAACATTATTTATTTATACATTTAAGTCGAGAAACGAATTGAAGTTAATTTTATAATAAGTTAAAGATAATTTTTGTTATCTATTTTAAAATGAAGAATATAAAATTTATTATGCATAATTACATCCTTGTTGTCATTCCTGTCATCTATGGAAGCATTCCAAATCAACGAGTGTCAGCAACTGGTGCAACAAATCTATTATCTAAATTTTGCAATTTTTTTAAAATATTGGTTTTCTATAAGATGAAGACCAGAAAGATACAACATTTTTGTTTTAAGTTTTTACAAGTTAAAATTCAAAGAAATTTCCTAAAGCATGTCAGCTAGTGGTGCATTTACCGTATGTATTTTTTGTCATTCAATGAGAAAGAATAATTGCTAAAATAAATCAAGAAGATTGTAAATAAGAACTGAGATATAAAATTTATATATTGTTGAAGATAGTTGATATTAGTAATTTAAAGTAAAAATGATGATCAAGAAGATCACACAAAAGATAAAGTGAAAAATAGTGCAATTAAAATCAAATAGTTTTGCAATATTTTATTTAATCATATCTCCATAATTAGTATTTATAACCTATTTCTACAACTTCAAGTACTTCTTATATTCTTGATAATTATAAAAATATCATAGTTAATGATGCTCTGAGCTTATGGTAACTGAAATGTAAAATTTATGTTTTTGATTTTCCATACACTGCTGGAATATACCTTTGTTTATAATGTTTTTTTATTTAATATATGGATAAAGATAGGCAGCAAAATCGATAATTTCGTTCTAAACGTGAACATTAAGAATAAGTTAAGTATCTACAAATTCATCTATATTTATAATGTATAAAATTCCGCTGCTATTTTAATGTTTAGATTCACATTAAGCATATATGCATACATATATATATATTTGTTTTTTTTTTTAATGATTTAAATATCACTTGTTACCTTACTTTACTATTGAAAAAACATAATTTAAAACTTGTTAGTTGTTCATATTTATAACTGTATAATAAACTATTTGAAAGTATGTTAATTATTCTAAAAAAATGATCTAACTTCCTTAACCCCTGTCTGATAAAATTTGCAACTATTTAATGATTATATATTAAACGGAATATAATGAATAATTGGTAACTTTACTTTAAAAATGTTTGATTATTTAACTGTATTTATTTTTTCTACAAAGGTGGAAATAAATATCTAAAATAAAATATTATAATCTAACAAAAATAAACTATATTTGTACCTAATTTTATTATAATTACTTTAATGATTATTATTGCAATATTTTATTTTTTTATTAGAAATATTTTGTTTTAATATTAAAATAAACTTGAAACTGACAATTTTTTAAATGCTTTCCTTTAAAGAAAATGGTTGAAAAGATTTTGTTAGATTTTCAATTAATTCAACACCAAATTTATATTAATTAAAATACATGAAATATAAGAAAGAGTTAGTCGAGGGTGCGGTCAAATAAATAAAAAAAATTAAAATATATTAATTATTTTAATGTTTGCCGACGTTTCGACCCACATTGCAGGTCGTCTTCTATTGTTATCTTATCCATATTTTAACTTTACTGTAACAATAGTTATTTTATTTTCAATCTATTTATTCGTTAACATTCATGTATTTATTTTCTTTATCTGTTAACCCACAGTTATCTAATGTAATTTCTATTCGTTTGTTATACACTTATTCCTTATCTTTTATCGCAATCTGTTTACTTTTAACTTACATGCTATATTCTCCTTTATTTTTATTTTTATTTCTACTTATTTTCCATTTATTTGTATCTTCTTCATATTTAATTCTTAATATTTAACTACATTGTCACCCACTATATCTCTGATACCATCTTTTATTTCTGTATCTGACAACTTCTTCGTATTTTATATATACTTATATTTATTTTTTATTTTCAACATGTTTTGTATCTTTTGTAGCCCTGAAGATGACCTGCAATGTGGCTCGAAATGGCAAAAATTAAAATAATTAATATATTTTAATTTTTTTATTTTATTTGACCGCACCCTCGACTAACTCTTTCTCATATTATATCAACGGTCAACCATCTCTACATCTACATGAAATATAAATCATAAAATTGTTTGGAATTATTGTTAGTTGATATAAATAATACCATGTCTTCCTGACCCAGAGTTACTTAAGGAGATCCAGAACAAGCTGAATTTTACTGTTGAGTAGTTCAGTAACAATTATCATTTTATATAAATGTTTCAGGTAATGTGTTTAGATATATATTTTATTTTATTGACTGAATTAAAGTTAATATAATAAAAAAATCAGAAACCTAAAAAAATACTCAAATAATAAATTTGCTGCCATCTAAATTATTCAGCCCGAAGATAGTGTCTCCCCTTTTTAAGAGTTTTTGACTGTTATACTTGGTCTCTTTGTGGAGAGGGGGGGAAGAGGGGTTTTTCTTTTAGAAAAAAAATTAAAATAACCCATTTCAACAGTAAAATGGATTAAAATAAAAAAAAATAGGAGAAAAATTGAATCCTTTTCGCATTTATAGTTTACTTTAGTATTTATTTGTTACATAGGGCCTTCTTTTATCGAAAATGATCTCAGACTTGAGTTAGATTTAACATAAATTTCAAAATAACATCAATGAATTGAATGTCATTAATTGTCTAATGTCTAATGTCATAAATTGGTGTATTTTTTAAAACCAATTCAGGAAAAATACAAAAATATATTTAGAAAACAGCTGCAGCTAGGTCCTTAATATTATGAGGGCAGTATTGATAATAGGAACTTAGCTTGATGGAGCTCAGTTTCTTAAAATCCTGACCACTATTTAAAAGATAGACATAAAATAAGTGAATAAATTGTCACACACTTTGTCAGGGGCAATTTGGCTGTCAGCCCAGCTACCTTGCGGTTGTTGTCCTCGCCTTTTCATTGGTGTACTATTGATTACAAAGTCATCTGATATACTGATATGATACTAATTAGGGCAATGGTCTCACTGAAATAAATTTTGTGGGTTTGCAGACACAATTGACACCACCTTTGTGTTTGCTAATCCAGATTATTGAAAACTAAAAAAAAAAAATAATATATAATAAATTAAAACAAAACTTGGAAATAAATTCAGAAGTTCAATTTGTGTTGACATTTTATTTGACTTTGGCTAGAAGCATCAATAGTTTTAGTATTTTTTTGTGACTAAAAACAGAAGATAAATATGATTCATAGTGACAGATCTTAAATTTTTTTTTCTTATTTTCTTCAGGCATAAAGTGGTATCTTCACTCATTCAACCAAAACTAAATTATATAATTGTGATAGTATATGATATAACTGGTTGCATTGATACTTTCTTATTCAATAGCTACTCAGTTATATTACTTTATTAAATATAATATTATTAATTGTATGTGGTATTATAGATTTAATTTTTTCTTTACTAGCACCATTCTTATATCCTGAAATATGCAGAAGTATTATTATAAAGTAAGTTGCTAGTCAAGTGCTAATATAGTCTTGGATTTAATTTAATCCTAACTTCGAGACTAAAATAATAAATAAATAACCAGTTTCTGTAAACTGGTTTCACAGCTATCTTTATTGCAAGAATAATAGATTGCTTAGAGTAGTAGTAGTAGTATTAAGTGACTCTTACATGGTCAGTATTATTGACTGAATATTATTGAATTAATAAAATTACTATCAGTATTATTGAACAACAAAGATAAGTAAAGATGGAGTGAAGTCATGAAATAAAGGGGGTTTCTTCACTCCATACATCATTTCTCAGTAGTTGTAGGGACTGGTGACTGATATATGAACAATATTTTAATCTAGAAGTTAGCCTAATCTAATAGCTAGCCTCAGTTGTTGTCTTTTAGTTAGTATTTTGCATTATAATTATTTTTTTATCTTAACTTTGAATTCTCAAACGTATTTTCAATTGGAAATTTCAGATCTTCAACCATCTCTTAATTTTTCATTGAGCCTCCGTTCAAGAAAACAATGGTCACAGTCAAAACAAAAACGAGTTTGCGATGATCTGAAAATACATCCAGCCAAGTATGTTGTCCTCAGTCACACGGTTACTTCAATGTGCACCAATCCTATCAGTTGCCAAACTACAGTAATTATGATTCAGAGCGATCATATCAGACAAGGTTTCTGTGATATCGGATACAACTTTCTCATAGGAGGTGACGATTACATTTATGAAGGCCTAGGTTGGGGAAAATATGGAGCTCATACTTACGGTTTCAATTGTGATAGCATTGGCATTGCCTTCATTGGAAACTTCAATTTAGACTATCCCACTGACAAAATGATCCAATTGTATAATTTGATAATCGAGGAAGGTTTAAGATTGAATCAACTGGCTCGGGACTACAAGCTGATTGCTCAAAAACAAGTAAATTCATTTGCTAGCCCAGGCATTCATATTGAAGAAGTGATGACGAAATGGGACCATTGGTCTTTAGTGACTCCCGATGATTATTTATGCAAACCTGTAGCAAACTGAGTGAGTAACAACTTAATTTTTTTTCAAACGAAAATAGTGTTCATTGTATATTGAAGTGACAATCATGATTATCAACAGTCTTGTATTTTCTGGAAAAACTCTATTTTTTACCTGTTGTACGTTATTCTCCTGGCTTTCATGATGAGACATTATTTTAAAATTTTGATTTTTTAATTTAAAAAAATAACTTTGAATAAAAACATGTTTTATATTTTCGAAATAAATCATATTTTAAAAATCTATTTAAAAATTATTGAATTCACCTCATTCACCCTTCTGGTGGCACTCCTTGTACCAAATTTCATGAATCAAATTCCTCTATTAAAAAAAATATTTGATTTTTGAGATCAATTTGAATTTGAATGTCTACAAAAATGAAAGGAGAAATTAAATATATTATAGAATTTTCCTAGTTATTCAAGAACATTCTTAAAAAATATATTGATTCGCCATAGTTAATTTATTACTGAAGAGACATTAACTCAAATAATAATGATCTTATTTATTTTTCTGATCATATTTTTGACATAAATTTTTGTATTTGTTTTATTTGTTTGACAAGACTATTCATTTTCTACCATTTTTTATGTGCTATATGGGGTTTTGTATGGATAATACAACACAATATAACTATATTCTTTTAAGTATAGTTATTTTATTTAAAAAGCTAACAAAATGTTTAAGTTATTGTGACTATATTAACCATATTTATTATTTTCTTCATGGAAGTAGAAAATTGAAAATAAATAATTACAACACATTAAGAAATTTGTAATAAACATATACTTTTTGAAAATGCTTTCTTTGAAGAAAAAGATAACAGTGGCTGTAAACAAATGTCGCAAAACAGCTTAATCAGATAAAAATTATAAATTATGGCCATAATAAAAGGTTGAAGGTTAACAATTCTACAAGTTGAAATAAAAAACAAATGGTCATTACTTGGTCAGTAAAAATGTGAATGAAAGTTATGAAATTTAAGAAATTTCTAATATCATTTATTAATATTCAGAGACTTTGTCCCTCAGCAATGTTGCTTTTTAATTCTTTCTATAGTTTGCACATCTGTTAATGTATTAAAAAACTGATAAATATTTTTATCAAATCAAAATTGTTAGAAATATACCTTCAGTTGCTTGGTATTAATATATATATATATATATATATATTTTTTTTTTTTGTATTATTTAATCGATTCCAAATTGGATATGAGGCTTTAGAGCATTCTATGGAAAAGATAAGACTTAAAAAGTTTATTATTTCAACTTTTTTTATGTCTACCTATTGATATTATTTTTTTTATTACCGAAATCATTTCACAATAAATTTGTGCAAACATTATGGTATTATTTCATTGAATGATCTTTACAAAACACTTAAATATTTATGGATAAAAATCAATAAAACAACTTTTTTAATTCTGCTTATAGTTCTATGACCTTAGATCAAAAAAGAGCATTTGTAGGAAATAATTTATGAAGTTCTTTCCTTCACATGAGTTTTTCTTTATAGGGTCAGGATTGAGAATCAAAATACTTCCCACCTCTCTGATGGATGAAACATCCCCTAATTTCCGAAAAACTTCCTCTCTCCCCACATTTAACACATTGATCGGACGGAAATAATGAATAGGAATGAAAATACTCCTCATGTTTCATGTGGATGTTCCATCCACCAGACAAGTTGGAACTCTTTTGATTCTTAATCCTGACCTTAAAAAGAAAACTTCCTGTGAAGGGTAAAACTTTATAAATTATTTCTCCCAAAACCCTAAAGTCATGAGATTAACCCAAGATCCTCCTTAGGTTATAAAGGTACAGATTCGTATTAATTTATTTATTTTTTTAAACAAAGATATATCAAGAGTGAACAAATTGACAATTTTCTAATTCATCAAAGTTGTAGAAATATTATAAATACATTTTTAAATTTCTAATACAAATTTTAAAAAAATATTGTAATTAATTAGTAGTCATGATTACCATGCTGTGGCTATAAATATATAAAGGCCATTCCCTATCCTCCACTTTTACATTCCATCCCTGTTCAGCCATCACTCACTTTTCATCCATTCAGCCATTAGTTTATAATTACATTATAATTTTAGCAAATACGCAAATAATTAATCAATTTATCAAAAATTTGTAACTTGGTATGAACCGATAAGTAAATAAGTTCGATAAGTCCAGTTCTCTGTTTGGTTTGACAAATTGTCATATTTTGGAAACAAATATACTCACCGTTCAATATCGCCAATATGTCATTGGTCAATTTTGCCAATATATTCACTCTTCTCTCTATTTTATTTCTACATTCTGTTGATATTATGATTTCAGATACTCCTAGAATTCTCAATTTTACTGAGGCCCTTCAAACAAGACAGCAGTGGTCTAAATCCAACTCAGAAACACCTTGCCAACTGTCCATCGATCGCCCAGCAAAATACATCGTCATTGGCCATACTGTTACATTACCATGCCGTAGTCGACTTGCTTGTGAAACTACAGTTACACTAATACAAAATGATCACAAAGGTCGTGGTCGGTGCGATATTTCTTATAATTTTGTGATTGGTGATGACGGCTACATTTACGAAGGACGGGGGTGGACTAAACTTGGTACAAAAACTATAAGTTTCAGTTGCTCCAGCCTTGGTATTGGATTGGTTGGAAACTTCAACCTGAACGAACCATCAGACATAATGATAAACTCATTGAACCTTCTGCTGGAAGAAGGTGTCCGTTTAGGTCACATTTCCTCAACTTATAAACTCTTAGCTCATTCACAAATAACCAACTGGGCTAGCCCCGGAATTCATGTTGAAGAATTAATAAAGAAGTGGGATCATTGGTCTTTATTGACTAAAGAAGACTTTAAATGTCCAAATAACTTAGATATATAATTGGACTATGTAGAACTATTGAATACTTTTCAATAAAACTTGCAGAGTTAAGAAGAACAAGGTAAGAGTTTTAGAGAACTAATTTTTCTCAGAGAAATTATAAGGCAATTCATTGCATGGCAACAAGAATAAATTAATCTTGTATTATTTGTTGTATAATAATAATTGATTGATATTACTTGACTCTTTATAAACTATGACAGAAATATTATAATTTCATTTGTCATAAATCATGTCATAACTTTATTCTCTGGATTCTGAATTTAAGTAATATAACAAGATCAGATTAAACCTGAAAAAAAAAAATTGAAGCAGCATACAATTGATACTAGTTTATAGTTTTTAAAAATTATAGAAATTATATTTTTTATCCAGCATTCTATTAAAACTTAAATTTGTGTGTGTTTTTATAGCTTTAATATGACAAATTAATGAAATGCTTTTGGTAAAAAAAAGATCATAGTGATATGTGTTACTGTAATTATTTGCTATGGATAAGAATTAAGTATACATATGGTTACAATTGGCAGTAAATAGTACAAGATTAGGATGAAAAGAGTCAAATGACACAGTAAGAATTCACTTTTAAGTGTGTTTTTAATTTATAGTTGGTAGAAATGTATTGAAAAGGAAATACTCTATTAAAAAAATTGCTCAAACTGGCACATGAATTATATACATTTATGGAAACTGTTTGATAAAGTTCTATATTAGAGTAAAAATATTTTCTCATGTGATGTAAAAATTGTACAAATATTTTAATGTTTATAGTGATAAAGAAACCTACAAAAATAATTTGTAAACAAACTTACCATAAGTTGTAGAATGATATTTAAATTTCCGAATAGTAATTAATATATGAGAAGATAGACTGTGATAGTGTGTGTAATCAGGGGCAGATATAGTATTAGTTTTTATCTCAAGAGGAGAGAAGGGGTAATAAATATCTAGTTAACAACAGAATTTGGGAAAAATATTTCCTTGTCAATTTTTATTTTCATTATAATCAATGTTTTAAGTAAACCATGCAGACTGGCAATGGCCTGTAGATGTACAGGACAACAACAAAGATATTAAAATAAAGATAAAAAAAAAAAAGTAAAATAAAAATAGTAAAATTTTTATTTGATATCTTTGTTAACCTAAATGGTTTGACTGAAACATTAGTTAGTCTAATCATTTTTTTTAATAATATCTCAAGTACAATTAAGAAATTTAAAAAATCACAATATGAGTAAGAAAATAATATTTCTGTTTCATTAAAGTTAGTGATTTAAAAGTGGTTGTTTTACTGAGAATTAGTAATATTTTGTAAGTTTTGTTATAATTATAGGTTATAATTGTAAATTATATCAATAAATTTTTATAAAATCTTACAGTCTTAAACTTCCTTGACTCAGTAATTCTATATTAATTACCTTAAATTTTATCACATACAAATTCATACAACTAATGCAGTAAAAGACTGACTAATAAAATAATACTTATTTTCATTATTATTTACAAAATTTCAGTTTACTTGAATTATAGTAAATTTAATAATGTAGATTTTTTTGTAACCATTACAGATGTCATATACTCACTGAACTACACATTGAAACTTAGGACAAGATATAATTGGTCCCAGTTCAGAACTAAACTCCAAGATTGTGACCCCCTCACTGTACGTCCAGCTAAATTTGTGGTAGTGGGTCATACAGTCTCCGGAAATTGTGAAACTCCGGCAGAATGTGAAAGGATAATGACTACCATTCAAAGCTATCACATTAGGAAAGGCTTTTGTGACATCGGCTACAACTTCCTGATTGGGGATGATGGTTACATTTACGAAGGAAGGGGTTGGGGTATCTATGGCGCCCATACCATAGGCTTTAACTGTGATAGCGTTGGCATTGGTTTAATTGGTAATTTCAACAAGAATATCCCATCCTCTGATATGTTTGACATGTTAAAACTTCTTATAGAGGAAGGTTTGAGAATAAATGAAATCTCAAAACAGTACAAACTACTATTCCAGTCACAGATTAACGAAAAGCCTAGCCCTGGAGGTAATGTTGAAAAAGTGCTGAAGAATTGGGACCATTGGTCCAATGTAACAACAGAAGATAGGCAGATATGTAAAAAGAAATCTATCCCCTGAATCTTTACAACAAATTTTGTGGAATCAGAAAAATGAGATTCCTCAAATTATTTGTACACATTATTGTATGTGTTATATTCTAAATCAGATATTAGAATTTATTTTTATTGTTAATTTGATTTAGCTATTTCGCTTATTGTTAAGTATTTGTTAATATATTTGTTATATATTTTAATAATTTATATATTTGTTATAAATATTTTACTATGTATATGTAGGTATGAAATATGTACATTTTTTTTGTATTGTATTATTATAAATATTTGTAAAATTTTCTAGTCTTTTTACTTGTTTTAAAAATTAAAGTTTTCACCAAAGAAACATTTTTCCAGCATTATTACCAGCCAAGTCAGTCTTTTTTTTTTCCAAATTAAAATTTTTTAATTTTTCATACATTCATACTTAATAAGACAATTAGTGATTAGACTTATTAAAATTCATGTAATGATGGCATGTTTTAATTTCAATTCTTTTAGTTTGTGAAATAATATAGATGTGTTAGAGAGAATCACTTTATTTTCATAAAAGGGTGCTGCCCATTTCTTTTCCATTTCCATTTCCAATTCCATTTCTCTTCTCTCCTCTTATATATTTCTCTAATGTTTCCTCATATTTCCACATCTATCTTCCTAACTTAATTCATACTTTCTGATGACAAATTATACAATAATGACAAGACAAAAAAGAAGAAAAAAGGTGACAAACAATAAAAAAAAAACTAAGTAAAACAATTATATACAAATACAGCAGATGTGTTCTATAAATAATATATAAATGTTGTAATATATGCATGCCTTATATGTCGTCATATCATATGGATCTATCTATATGAATGCAATATACTTCCTCAAAAAAGGCATTATATCTCTCTCTCTCTCTCTCTAATGAGCCTCATCAATCCATGTTTTACTCAGTTGTGATGGCGTGTTATAAGGAGGGAGTTCGTGGGGCATTTTTCCACAAGATGTGTTGGTGTTTCAGGCTCTCTGTCGCATATTCAACAGAGGGACCCAACTTCCCTTACTTGTCTGCTGACACCTGGGACTCTACACAGGGATGCATAATTGATATTAAGTTTCAGGGCATTTGACCATTCTGACCCAGAGAGTACTTTCTTTTTATACATATATTTGCTTTTGAGGGCTTTTTAAAATAGCAGACTCCAATGCCCTGCCACCTGTAATTGGGCCATTCTTCAAACGAATTTTCTCACAGCAACATTAAAACATTTTAATTGTCCCATTAAATAATGAGTAACTTAATAAAAGGTGTAAATCATAAATGAATCTTCTATATAAATGTTATTAAACAATTTTATTTTTATTTTATAACAATTTTAATTTAATTTTTAAATTAAATTATGAAACAAAAACTTTTCTGTCTGTTATATAAAAAAGTTTTTAGTGACTGCGTAATATTTTATTTTACATATAAGATGGAATAACCAAAAATAAAATTTTGGGATAAAGACGTGATGATTTTTTTTCTTGCTTACACTATATTCAAAAAATAATACAATCTGAACTAAAGAATACATGTAAATTATAGTTATAAATTTCAAGTAATGGACAGTGCAATTAAATGGATAGTTGTATAATTTGTAAAATGGGGATGGATCCAGAGTTAGTAAAAAATAAATAAAAAGTTTGCTCAAAATAAATTATATTATTGCCAGGATGATAGAAATATTATTATTTTTTTATAATAATGATTAGTGTTGGTGGTCTTAACCTTTGTGAACACTAACTCTCCAGGTAAAGGTTTTCCTTATTCTTAATGTTGTTTACACTCATATTCATTCATTCATTCATGTATGGCACAACATCCCGTCACCGAGACTGGGCCTCCTCCAAGAGCCTCCGCCAGTTGGCTCTATCTTCTGCTGCAGCTCTCCAATTCCGCACACCAAGCAGGGTTCTCGCATCATAGGCCACGTTGTCCAACCATCTCGTCCTTACACTCATATTAATGATAAGAATTACATATTGATTGTATGCATTAAACTTAAAAATAATTAAGTAAATTTATCTTATTTTTAAATCCCATATTTGTGCCAAGATGCAAAGTAAAACTAATGGTTATTTTAATTAGTATTGCATTACAGAAAAGGCTTGTATTTGATTAAAATGTTCATATCTTCAGATTCTTTAAAATTTTAGCAGAATCATATTAATGTCTAATATCCTATGCACCTTTATCCTAAGAATTCTCCACAAAGGCAAAAATAGCATTGATCCCCAGCAACTTTAGTACAGATAACAGTGGGGAGTCCTAGCAATGGTTTTCCCCTCTTCTATCTCTTTCTCTTCCTCTCCCATCAATACCTAGAAAGAAACTAATCAAGATTCCTACACTTCATATGGGATCTCTACCTATAGTACAACGGATGTCTGTATGTATTATGTACTTTAGTCAGAAAATATCAGATCGTTTAGTGCTGTTGGATAACAATATGTAAAACAAACCTATTTATTCTTAGATTGGATTGTCATAATTCAGATTGTAACATTATCAAAGTATTTAGATCAATAAATTTTCATTTTCTCTTCAATAAATTCATCAATAAATCATTAGGAAGTATTTTCTCAGCAAGTTAGGTTAAAAAAATAAAATGTGGAATGAGTATAATCTATTACATTTTTTCATTATTTATTTAGTTACTTCTACATGAAGGATTTCAAATAATACTCGTTTACATTTGTTTTTCTTACCAAAAAGTATTAAACAATCCAAGGTATTTAAAGTAAAGTAAAGCATTTGACATATAATACAAATTCATGATTTTCTCTTTGTAATAAACCTTAGACAGGTTTATTATTGTTGGACAATGAACAAACAATGTATTTCTTAGGAATATAACTTGAAGACAGACTATCATGCATTCTTCTTACAAGTCTGAAACAAGAAACTCTTCATAGACACAGATTTATAACAATTCTAAAATTCCATGAATAACCAGTACAAAGGTGTAAATATATTTTTGGAGGCCATTGGCAGCCACATTTTGAGGCTCTCTAAACTTAATCAGTATCTAGATCAGATGAAATCAGGCAAAACCAACCTTTACTCAAATACTGTTTGATGTAAGTTAAGTTAGATATGTCACCCAAAAAGGGAATCTCACATTGTTCACTATCTTATTTCATTGTTCACAAAACACAAATAGGACAAAATATTGTCTGTTTATTTGTATGTATGTACTGATTTTTTCAGCAAACAGTACCTCCGATTTCCAATAATATAATTTTCAGCATGTATTAGTAGATTTTTAGAATATGCCTTAATATTAAGCTATTATTTGCACCATCAATCAGTTTTTCTAATTTTACAATGTTGGAAAGGCAACAAAATGAAAGGAAGGTATTTTCTTAAGACAAATACCTGCACTTTTAATTTGATTTAATATTTAAAATTTGGCTCTATCGTGCATGAACTAATTATTTTTAGGAAGCAACTTGGGTGTAGGCACAATCAGTTTACCTTAATAGGTAACCAAACCATTTTCAAGTTTTAATTAATTTTTACATTGAAGATACAAGATTTATTTGATAATAGATAAAGTTTAATTAGAGGACCTTTGACCTCGTCCTTTTGGTAATATTGTAAATAAAATTCTACTGCATCATATGTATAAATTGCAGTTAATTCAAACAGGGCACACAAGCAAAAATGTTTTTTCTATGAAAGGATATTTGAAAATTTGTTGCAATTTTTAGTTACGAGATGTACATCAAAGCCAAATTCAGTCTTGAAACTTTCTATGCTTCCCAGGTGAACCCAAAATGCAAAAATAACTCATCCAAAATGGGTATATGAGGTTTTTTGGACCTTCTATTCTGTGTTTGTTCTTTATGCAGACTTTTGGATAGAAACAATATCTTCCAAAACCATGTAATTTACCATCTTATTTATACAGAAACGATATTATGTCAGGTCTGAAATAGCAAATAAAGTCGATGACTTGTTTATTACTACAAAAGTGAAAATCATTGCATATTAATTGTATTTCATATAAATTTGACATCATATATAGAAGATAAGGTTTTCCACTCATTATTAAGTTCTAAGAAAAATAAAATTAATACATTTTTAATATATTAATATTTTTATACACCAGGAAACGCTTATCCACTTATCTATATGTATCAGAAGAAATTTTCTAAACACAGGCTTTTCTAAAGTATTTGAATAAGGCAGTATTTCAATCCTGGTTAACCAGCGTTATAATCTTGTAATTTATCGCCCTAAAACCCTTACCCTACCCTCAATCCTGGTTAAACTACAAAGTTTACTCACATCCTATACTGCTAGAAATAGTGCTATTTGAAATAGTAACATGATTCCCATCATCATTTACTAAAGCTTTCTTCTTGCCTTTAACAACCATACTAAGAAATTTCAAAGCCATCAGTTCAAAGTAGTTAAAAATAGTAGTTATTTTCAAGTCAAACATGATGAAGATAAAAGCTCCCTGTAAACCATTTAAAACAGTGAATGGGAAATGATAGTCTGGCTTCTTTGAAAGAGAGGTTAATATGCTTACTGCCCACATGGTACCCATCATTGTTGATAACTTTATATACAACCACAGTCTATTGTATTCCTTCCTCCCAGATTTGTTGATTTTATGAGAATTGCACTGCATCCTCCTGAACATGCAGATAGTTATGAAAAATAATACCATGTCCAGTATATTAGTAATAAGGATGGGAAAGAAGAAAAACAGACCCATACCTGCCCAATTACCAAACCAGCAGTAATTATGCCTCGCTGTGTACTGGGGCCTAAAATTGTCAGGTATGAAATCGGTCAAATCAGCTACAATAGAGATAGTAGTAATAATAGCAGCTCCTCCCCAACTCCACAAGGCATACTTTGTGTAACTTTTGGTCGTGTAGTTTTTCAATGAAGAGTCTGAAAAAGTGTGAAATATGTCGAAGCTGATGACATTCATCCAGAAAAACGAAGCCAGGAAGAAGAACTGTATAGTTACAGCTATACTGTAACAGATGGCGTGTGGCAGAGACACTAATGAGTATATTCCGCACAAGAATAATGTTTGAGCAATCAGTAGAGACCACGCAAGAGAGTTGACCACTTTTGAAGGCAAGTTCTTTGGAGGAGAGATAAATATGGCTAAGTAGACATGGATGAGAAGGCAAACAACTGAAATTGAGAGACTTGCATAAGTTAGATAACCGTCTATAACACGGCCAAGGGTATGCTTTCGATGGAAGCATTTTTTGTCCTGGCACATGGTGACCTTACACGATCCACTTATCGGGCAATTGACTGCAGTACACTTCTTGCGGAAGATATCCCATCTCATATTTTCAGGAAAGTTACAGGCGCTAAAGGACCAGTCGAAGGTGAAGATCTCAGAAAGACTAGGCAGGATAAGGTCGTTATGTCGGTATTTGCAGAACATGTTGGACTTGTTCACACCGTTGCAGAGGGCACAATGTGGATTCCGATACACCTAGAAAATTTCAATAGATTGGTTTAAAGAAATTATTCAAGATTGTTTATTAAAAATTATTACTCTGAAATAGAAACAGTGTTTTTCTAGTAGATGTTTTGCTATTCTCAACCGCATTAATACATGTTCATTTTTTATTTTCCCTCTAGAATAACCTTCCGTATGCTAGAAATGAGGAGTCAGTGAAATATATTATTTGACTACAAGAAAATATGAACTCAAATTGGCAGATCAATTAGATAAGAAAGGCAGAGCAGATCGCCATACAAGTAAATGAAGATAAAACAAAATATATGATAATAAGCCGAAAATTCCACATCAATAACAGGATATCCACAATAACCTCAATGACTGACAATGGGCAGAAATAGAATAGACAAGGCAGAAATAGACCAGCATATGACTAGCGCTTTCTTTTCTCTCTCTCTCTCTCTCTCGAAGGTATTGAAATCCCGAAAAATCTCAAACTAAGGGTGTGCAATGCTATGATAAAGCCAGTTAATATATATGGCTATGAGACCTGGACACTAACCAGCTGTCTAGAAAAAAGTATTGAAAGATTTGAGAGGAAACTCCTCCGTACGATAACCGAAGCGATCTGAGATCAGATTGGAGAAGAAATACCAATAAAGAACTGCTTACAGAAATTGGTCAATCAATATCCCATGATATGAAGACACGGAGGTTAAGATGGGCGGGGTATGTGGCTTGAATCCATCTGGAAGCCTCTACGTAACAATGAATGCCTCAATAGATGGTAAAAGACCACGTGGAAGGCCAAAAAGCAGATGGATAGATAGAATCAACAAAGATGCAATAGAGCCGCGTGCAAATGAATGGAAAGAAATAGCCCAAGATAGGCAGAGATGGAGCAGGCTTGTTAAGGCGGCAAAAGATCTACATGAGCTGTAATGCCAACAGGAAAAAATAATATATATTATTTATTTTTGTTTTATTACTATTGATGGTTGGTCAGCTTGTATTCTTGCCAGAATTAAATAAATTTTTATTTTCAGAAACTAAAACTTCTAGCCGCATTTTTAATTTTATACATTAAGCGGCGATTTGGGTCCATAATTTGTCTGTGGTCAAATCCAATTGTGTTCTAGGTGTTCTGAAACGGGTAGAAAACGTAACCGCGCCTTCCACTAACGACTTTCGATACAGTGCAAATGTCTATAATTTCCGAATGAAAATAGATTAAAAGAAGACTGAAAACAGATTGAAATTTGGCTCTTTCGACAGTAGAATTTGCTGACCACGGTACAAACCAACTTGTCAGACTTTTTTTCTTTTAATGATTTGTTAAATTTTACGATCATTTTCTGAGCTGAATTCTTTTATTTTCTCACTTTTTAATATAAATATTTTGATCACCTCATGTAAATTGAAAATAAATTATAAATGTGCAGCATCGGAGTTGTTGGGACTAGCAAAATATCTAGCGGAAGAAGAAACCTGTTTCTATTTCTTTCTTCTTCTATGTATTGGGTTATCCAGAAACTAGTGCAGGATTTCATATTTTCTTTATATTAACACTTTATATAACAAACTTTTACGTTTGAGAGATTATTCTTTAGTATGGGTGTCAACTTTTACAAACAAAAATGCTTTATATCTTCTGGAGCATTTTACTAGTTAGAAATAATTCAATCTTTACTATGATTTTAAAACGTGATTTCCGCATAATCAAGTATTAAGAGTTTAAACTCGATCGAAACGCCCAGAAATATTATTGAAGCATGGGACGATGGCAACGTGAATGCACCGTTCAACGGATGGTATTTAAAATTTTGAGAGAAAGTCTTCACCGTTGAAAAAAAATATGGGCGTGGAAGAACTTCTTTTCTTGAGGAAGATGTTCTGTAAGCTTTGGTGGAAGAAAATCGCAGAACCATTGTTCGAGAAGCAGAGAAACTCAATTAGTAAATCGACCATCACCTTAACTCAATTTGAAACCTAACAAAGATTGACACTTGAGTTTCTCATACATTATAACAAAGAATTTTTAGTTTATTATTATCAATAATCAACCATAGTGATCGACCAACAAATTCAAAAACTTAACCCCCTCTCAAAATTTGAGGTTTCACGTTTCAGGATGCGTAGAATTCGAAAAACGGATAAAATTTTTTTTGTCCGTCCGCCGTCCGCGCATTTTCTCTAATCTACTGGACCGATTTTTTTCAAATTTGGGTATAAAATCAGAAGTCACCCAAGGATATGATCCTCCTTCATCGACATTACTATCCGCCTTTTACTTTTAAAATGGCGGTCGAAAAATCTGCGTTCCTATAGACTGTAGCTCCTAAACGAATGTACGGATTTCAATGAAACTTCGCTAATTATTGACACCCTTTAAATTTATTTATATAACATACTTCAACGAAAAGAAGCTGGAAAAAAAGTTACTGGGGCTGGTAAAATTTAATTCCGAATAACTCAAAAAGTATACACTTTTTTGTCGATATTGTATATGTTTTTTCAAAAGTTTATAGAATTCCTAAAAAACAAAAAAAAAAAAAAAAAAAAAAAAATCGTCAAAATCGGACAATTAGGAGCAAAGATATGGTCTCCAGTTTTTTTTACATGTTCTACTCCAAATGTTATGTCCTTTGTTTGGTTTTAAATTTCGAATGTGTTACTGAAGTAATAATTTTTCGCATATTACTAATAATTAAAAAAAAAAGTTTAGTCCTGCGATGTCCAATAATTCGAATCACCTTTTATTTATTACTTTCCTACCTATAGTAGGTAAGGAAAGTATTGCAATCGGGTCAAATTTCCGACATGCGGTTTTCGACGGATCTATAGGTTCAGAACCTCAACACATTTTTAGCCATTGGTCGGTCTGTCTGTCTGTGCCAAGATTTTCTCGGGAACTACTAAACCGATTGTGTTGCTTCTTTTTTTATTTTGTAGAGTTTTGACTACTGATGGCTGTGACAGAAATTCGGTGCTCCATGCGCAATATCTTGTGCGCAATAAATGAAAAACATGTTTTTCTATAGACTAGCGCAAAAATGGCTCTAACGATATTGATGAAACTTTTCTATAATGTTGTTAATAAATTATTGTTTGTAAATACTAAGCTATGCCAAAAAGTTTTTGATCATCAATATTAGGAAGTATTGAAATGTTTACACTGATCTATCTTAAGCCGGTTTACATTGCTTTAGTTTATCAAATAAATCGTACTCAAATCTTATGTTTGATAAATTTTCAGGAAAATGTGTCTAGTTCAATTTTTTTTTGTTTCTTCATGAACATATATAAAGATATAAAAACTTTTTGAAATAGATAGGAAAGTCGTGTGAGTGGACACACCAGATTTTTTTTTATCTTTGTAACTAGGAAGGTAATGTTACTTTAGATGTATAGTTGTTTGGTAATAATGAACCATTGTGAAATAATTTGCAGCGTTTTTCAATTAACTTCATTCATTAAAGAAACGAAAAAAAAAATCCTTATGAAGTTATGAAAACAGGACCTTTTCCGCGCCATACTCTCGTCTAACAATAGACATCTGATTTTTGAAAAGTAAAAATTTTATTCATCGAAATTTGTCAGAATATCGGTTTTAAATAACGATTCAATATAATATTTAGAGGAAATGGAAAAGTTACCGACAAGTTGGTAGAAATATATTGAGAGTATTTTGATTAATAAAAATAATTTTTTAACTTGCTTTACTTTAAAACCATAAACCTCCATTAATTTCGGGACATCCCAATATAATATATTTTATAGTTATTACTCCACCTTGTTCGATTCGGTAATCAGCAGAGAGTACGCAGCACACTTAGCAGCGACCTGAGGGTCAGAATCAAGCGGGCAGGTTGAGATGGAAGGAATACAAGGTCTTCCATGCTTTAACATCTCGGTTTGAGAAAAGGCACAGAAACCATGTCCCACTTTCCATATCAACTTTCCTTTTTGATACTTTCCGTGCTTGCGCAGCTGAAAGCAAAGATAAAAACAAATGAACAGCTTGACTTCATAACGATACACTTAACTGAGCAATAATTTCAGATTATGTATTCACCATCTTGATAGTGATATTATGGCTGCACTTCATGGAATGTTTAGGAAGTTCGATGACGTCAGCTCCCTTCAGTAACGCTTTTAAGAGCCCTGGCTCGCAAAGGGCACAATAATAATTGGCATAATGAAGACCAGTCAAGTTCGAGTACACAGGAATGTCCTGATAATATTCCTGTGGTTGAGAATAGGTTTCCTTTTCACACAGATCTCTCCATTCCTCTCCAGAAACGCAGTTAGATACGGCATATATACTCTGGACATATATATTCTTTACAGATGAAATGAAATGAAAATATATTTTATTATTTTGGGACTCTTGTCCCTTTAGAACAAATTATAAGTACATATTGCATGTCTGCGTAGTCATAAATAAATTATATATTTACAATAAGAGTTAATTAGAAATAAGAATACAGAAGAAGAGAGAGAAAAAGACAAGAAAATTGTACATATATATAAGAAATTAAAATAACCTAAATAAATTGAGGTAGTCTCTGGGGGTACTCAGATAGTTCTCTTAGGTATATTTCGTAATCAGACGGATTAAAGGAAAGGAATAGGAACTAAAAAAATTGTGAACAATCGGAACATAACTAGTGTTGCCCAAAATCGGTCTTGGTCTTGCATTTTGTAAGACCTAGACCAAGTCCGCCTAACTGTTGCAAGACCAAGACCAAAACTTAAGGCAAAATAGTTACTAATACTTGACAATATTAGTTACTATATGTTAATAATTAGTATAATCAATATAATTTTGCATTTAACTCCTCTAATTTTTCATTCGGACTTAGGTTTTTCTATAAAAAAAAATACAGTAATATCTCTATAGTAATGAGCTAATAACTAACTGCAAGACTGTTGCGAGAGTCTTGTGCAAGACCAAGACCATTACCAAGACTGAGTTTGCAAGACCAAGACTATTACCAAGACTGAGTTTGCAAGATCAAGACCATTACCAAGACTGAGTTTGCAAGACCAAGACTCGCCTCGGTCTCGCATTTAGGCAACACTAAACCTTCATGATTTAATCGGATCAAAAAGAATGTTTGTAGACCGATCACTTACTAAGAGGGTGGATTCGGTCATCCTCGGGAATTTCGTTAATTTCATCTGCAAGGACATCATGTGAGCTTGTAATAGGGATGGGCGATACTCGGTAGTTTTAGTCGATAAAAACTATCGATAATATCAATAGTTTAGTAACTTCCCGGCACAGACTTAAAGAGGATTTATTTTCAATGTATTCTTTATTAATTTATTTTACAATGCGGATTAATCTATATAATAATTAATATTTATATTGGATACATTCTTAAAGATTCATGTTAAGGCACTATTAAATATTGTTAAATAAATAATTAAAAAATACAATTACATAGAAAAATAAATTGAATTTATTTTTCCGATTTTTGAATAAAAAAAAAATCGACCACGTATAGGTAGTATTGGTTAAACTATTTGTTTAAAAAATCAGGAGAGAATTGTGTGTCTTAATTTTCAAGATTCTAATTTTCTAAATTTAATTTGATAATAGCACCTAGTTTAAAATATAAAAAAAACAGTAATGGCATCCTTGTATATTTTATAATTATATTTATTATGAAAAAATAATAAAAAAGCTGAGGTAAATTTAACATTTTTTCCATCCAACTGGAGTTGTAAAAATATTTCTAAGGAAGTAATTTGTGATTGGATTATTTTTTACCTTAAGCGATTCTTCTTGTTCAATTTAGTTTCAGTTTTATATATTGATATGAATAGTTTCAAACAGGCCTTTAAACTTCCATACATTTATTTTCTTAGTGTGGCGTTTCCATTATACAATATATGTTTTCCACTATCAAACATTTAACTTTTATATTGTTATATAATCAATATATTTCGTACACCAATAAATGAGTATAAAAATGAAGCCGTGTTATTAAAATGATTCCTTTAAGTATGTATAATTTTAAAATAATTTGTATCTAAAGCCGACCTTACATGGTCAATGTTATTGAATCAATAATATTGAAGTAATGTTATTGAACGTGGTATATGACCATATAATTGCTACAATATACCACTAAGACCGGCAATATATTTGATATTGAATCAATAATATTGACTGTATAAGGGGCCCTTAAGGGGAAGATACGAACTATAGTTAGTCACTAAGACTAATTAATCGACATATCGATAGTATTATCGACTATCGTCCATCTCTAGTTTGTACCCAAACGCCATATTGTCTGTCCTGTCAATTTTATTTTATAAGTGTTACATGAAAATCACATAAGTGATCGATATGAAACGTAAGGGAAAAACAAATAATCTTGTGAATAATATTTAATTTGAAACTGTATATTATATTATTTAATTCGAATTATATACTACTATCTGTGCTTGTATAAGTGTGTGTTAGGATAAATTAGAGGATGTTGGATCGGGCACGTTGGGGACTTGTTTCCTAAAGTATCCTGTTCTGAACGTTGTTGGTTTGATTCCTGCCTGGGTCGGTTAATATTTATTTCACGGCGGCTACGGGAAATTAATATTGCCACATCCCCACTAGTACCATTAACAGTATGCTAATTAAAAAAAAAAAGATCTTCAAATGATCTATTGATATGTACTCACCATATTCAGAGACAGAGGCACACAGGAAAAAACTTTGTTACTTCTTTGTCTTGGAAATGGAGCTCGATCCAAACAACAGTCACCGTACTTGACGCATTCTGGATCACAGAAACATCTGCTGCTTATATTTCTGTAATGTTTATTATATACAGTTGTATCAGAAATATTTTTGAATGTAGATATAGATATTGAAACCACATTTAAGTAGTGCTCACGAGGCTAGAGTAAAGTTTCCTGGAATGGGAATTGGATCTTTTCTATCACATAGCACGTCCCATCCACATTCCACCAAGTCGTCTATGCTCTTGCTGAGAACTATAACGCAAAGGAGCAGGAATACGAGGAGACACCTGAATAAAAAAATAAATAAATTAACATCAGTAATTTGTTGGAGTAGCATGTAGGGGAAGAGTTATCTTATTCTTCATTATGATTTATTCTAAGGAGTAAAAACTGATTCATTGCCTTAGAGCCCAGTAACATTTTACTTTTACTTTACTTTATAGGCGTTCCAAGGTTTCTAAGAGTTGCCTCACATAGTCAGCGCACATGTCCACGCACTTCTATCTCGCCAATCATCTTCCGGCAGACCTCGACCAGCCATTTCCTCCTGGATCTCCTCCATCCACATGCTTTTGGGCCGTCCACATTCTCTCTTTTCTGGTGGAACACAATCTAGGACTCGGCTTAGACAACATTCCTCCGTTATTCTTCTCACATACCCACACCATCTTAGGAAGCGTGTCTCGATCTTTTCATTAACTGCTGTTCCACATCCATTCTCTGTCGAACTACCTCATTCTTAATTTTAATAAGTCTAATAAGACGGAGACACCTTCTCCAGCAACCCATCTCGACCGCTTGCACCTTTGAGTTCAAACGGAAGTTCATGGTCCATGTTCCTGAGACATACGTAAGAATAGCTTCCGCTCTAGCTGTGAATATTCTACGCTTGTTCTCGGTGGAAAGCTCCATGTTCCAGAGAACTAGATGTAGGATTCAGTAGCCTTACGGGCTTGCTCCATCTTCCTCCTGACTTCATGCTCAGAAGACCATGTAGCATCGATATAAGAGCCCAGGTACTTGAAAATATTAAATTTTTTGCAGGTCTCCTTGTCCACTAGAAGTGCTCCAGTATCCGTATCGCATATGACCATGTATTTGGTCTTCTCGAATTCGATCTTTAATCTAGCCGTTTCGTAACAGGCCTTCAGCTGAAACACCATTACTTCAAGATAGACCTTCCTTCTTGCAAACACGACCTGGTCGTCAGCGGAAAATAAGAACAGCAATTGCTCGTCATCAATAAATGACCCAACGTCCCCGCATTACTCGTACCACGGCTTTACTGCTGCGTGCAAGTTTATCTTAAAGAGAGTTATTTTGACTTAGAAAACCTCAAATATGTATTTCCGTTGAAAACTGAGATTCGAAAATTTTCACGATCGCAATACTTTCCTTTACTATTTATTTCGTAAATACGTAAGTGAAAGTAATAACCGATTATAATGTAGTGTTTCTTATGGTTTAAATTGTAGGTCAGTCATAGGTGGAAGTTAGTATAATATTCTTTAGCAATGTATTTACATCAGTTGTGAGGTAGAATGACCAGTGTTACCCAAAATCGGTCTTGGTCTTTCGATAAGACAATTCGGTCTCGATTTTTTAAATAAAAATTAAGGCAAAATAGTTACTAATACTTGACAATCTTAGTTACTATATTTAAAGAAAAAGAAAGGGCAACACTAAGAATGATGTACTCTTATGGTGCATAATTTTACAGTATACTTTCGGATTGAATATATTCTGTGGGGTATTGGTTATTTCATGAAAATCCTATGTGAATATTTTTACCAAATCGGTAAAATTTATTTCAATAAGTACGTATTTACTTCATACACCTGTTGATTTAAATCATTTATATTTGTTTATTTCCTTTGTTTTTAATAATTTATTTTATAAATACCTAAATGTTACTTTTATTTAAGTTATGGTTTATATTAAAAAATAATAATGTAAATCAAAAAATCTTAACATTTTATGATTCAATCAGCCTCCTAATATTCTTATCACGTTTTCGAGACAAACTAGTCAGAAAGTGAAAAAGTCATATTTTTTTGAAATTGTACGCACTAAGAAATCAAAGATATTTTTCACTTTTTTACATTATTTATTTTTAGCTGAAAAAGTTCTAGAAATGTACCAATGTTATGAAGGCTGTCTCCTCTCTCCGCTGTGTTTAAATATGTTATATATTCAATTGTATGTTTCACAGTAATTATATTGAATTTTTACATATAGTAAAAATCCCGCCATTTTTTTTAGTTCATCGCCCCCTCCCCAACCAAATCGAAAGTCTGTGCCTGCCTATGTATGCTTGTGACAGTTTTAAGTTTCAGACGCAAATAATTATAATAATGAAAGTAGTCAGACTATGTTATAAATAAAGAAATCTGTGGTCTAGCTTAGTGCATTTTGAGTTATTATTTAATTTTTTAAAATAAAATAAAATTTTCCTTTTTTAACACTAAAGTTTTTCACTTTTTATAATACTAATATATGTATACTTTACCTGAAATGCCTAAGCATCATGGTGCCATCGACACTAGACCTATTCAGTAGCCAACACCTGTCCGTTATCACTTCCGTCATATCTACCCTAACGTTTACTTTAACTTTGTTTTTAATAACTCTCCTGGAGGATAAACAAGAAGATCGCTTTTGGGGTGTTTGATCAAGAGGCACTAATGAGTTTCGCTCCACCCATGTCAATAAATTAAGATACTTCATATTTCGAATTTAAAAAAAAAACAAAACACGGACAATGTATGGTATAAAACGTGTTTTAATCAATTGAGTAAAAGGTATCTAACGATTTTTGAGCGAACTATAGTTTTTTGATCCCCCATTATTCAATTTCCTAAAAAAAGAGTGTTGTAGGACAATCATCTAGGTGCGACAGTGTTGACTAAATTGAAAATTTGCGATGAATTTATACGAAAAGTCTGATAAAAAAAGTATTTTTTTAAAGAAATATTTGAAAGATAATTTATTTTTAGAAACCTACTGGTAATTACATTTTTTTTTACTGGTAATTCGGGTCCGCACATTCATAATTTTCAAAATTTCATTATAGAATATTTATTGCTATTTTATTTTAAATTTCGCAAGAGAAGACACTTAGCCCCCATCTCACTTACAACATCCGAAATTCAAGATATGAAAAAACTAGTGTTGTACAAATGCGAGACGGTCTTGCAGTTACCTATTAGCTTAGTACTATAGAGATATTATTGTATTTTTTTAGGTAGGGGAAACCTAAGTAAGCCCGAATGAAAAATTAGAAGAATTAAATGCAAAAGTATATTGGTTATACCAATTCTTTACAAATGGTATCTAAAATTGTCAAGCATTAGTAACTATTTTGCCTTAATTTTTATTTAAAAAATAGTTTTTTTTACCAGTCTTGGTCTTGGTCTTGCAAGAGTGAGGCGGTCATAGTCTTGGTCTTGCAAAGTGCAAGACCAAGACCGATTTTGGGCAACGATAGAAAAACACAAATAGGGTTTAGAACTTCACAAATAAACTAATAAATATTTCTTTCTCTGATTTATTGGGTAGCAGCTGGGAAAAAAATAATTGTACGCTGTTTTAATGTTGGCCAGCACTGTATTTAATATCTTAAATATTTAGCAAAGAAAATCGTTGGTCTATACATCCTCAAACTAAAATTTAAAAAAGATCGATTGATTTACCAACTCAGCTATCTTAATAAGATTCATTTGTCTTACAATAAGATTGTCTATTTCTCTGTATAGGACAATTTTTATTTTCGTGACTGAGTTTCATCTTTGTATTTTTTATATATACCTACATGATTTTGAAAAATTGGTTTAGTTTTAATAATAGCCATTAAGTGATTTGTATTTTTATTTCTAATCTATATTTTTATTTCTAATGTATTTTTATTTCAAATATATTTTTATTTTTAAATGTATTTTTATTTCTAATGTAATTTTATTTCTAACTGTATTTTTATTTCTAATTATATTTTTATTTCTGAAGAGAAGAATGGTTGGGATGATCAGTCAAATTGAAATGGTAATAAATAAATAATTATATTTATTTTTACATGCACCGATGTTTCGACCCGAAGTTCAGGCCTGGAAAGAATCAGATAAGAATAGGTATAATAACATTGAATAGGCATTGAATAATACAGAATTAAGTTTAAAAAAGGTGATATATATAGACTAATAATTTGTAGTAGAACAACTTAACACAAAATGAAGTAGATAGAATGAACATTAAAGTAAAACAAAGTAGATAGAATAATAACAGTAACAGAGAACGAATAAATAAATAATAACAACTGTAACAAAGCACAGACCAATGAAATAAGCATAATCAAATTTATGTATTAAATATAATTTAAAATATAAAATATTTTTATTTGAAATTGTAATTTTAATTCTAATACAGTTAATTCTAATACAGTAAATAACATAAATAATAAAAAGAAAAAGAAAAGCACCTAATAAAGGAGAAAGAATGGTTATTAAAATATTATAATGAGAAAAAAAAGATATTTTGCTCCCAGAGGATGAGATATGATATATAAATTAAAATTATATATTATAAAAAATATTTTTAGCCAATTATGATATTTTTAACAAATAATAGCTGTTGAAAAATAAATTTTATTAATGCAATAATAGTTATAACCAGGACTTGAAACGGAATTTGTTTTTAATGTTTCAGTATAATGTTTTTCAGTTCTTTTGGAACTAGAAATTTTTTCCTAGCAACTTTTTAGTAAAGGTTTTACAGAACTTACAGCTACTCACACAAACGACATATTAGAGTCATGTGTAATTCATTTAGGACAAATTATAACTTTATTCTGAGCACAATTACTGTTTATTTTTTCATTTAACAGAATGTATTATTAATAAATAAAAGTTAAACTTATTATCATAAATCTAGGAATTAATTAGAAAAAAGTTCCTTAAAACATCTATTTTCCTAAAAATAGTTCACAGAAACTGTTAAAATGGGATTCTTTTCCATGAAATGTTTCACGTAAACTGTCAAAATAGCACTTTTTAAAAAGTTTCAACCTCTGGTTCTTACAAATACTTTATCCTTTATACTTTATTATTGAAAAATGGGAAAGTAATTGGTATTATTTAAGATTCTTTTTATTTTTGTTTTGGAAGTTAGAATTTATCTAGTCATTAAAAATAAAGTAAAAATAGTTTTAAACAACTCATAGTACCTTTCACACAAACCATTAGAAAAAAAAGTTTGTTTAACCAAATCATAACTAATAATGGCTCCATGACAACCAGCCGAAATAGCTCAGTTGGGAGAGCGTTAGACTGAAGATCTAAAGGTCCCTGGTTCGATCCCGGGTTTCGGCATTAAATTTTTTTTTTTAAATTGTTACTCAAGATACCGTAACGAGCTTTTCAGAACTTCCACTAAACTAAGTTTCAACTTCATTTTAAATTATTTAATATTTTTGGAAAAGACTCGAAAAAAAAACAATCCTGAATCAATTCTTTTATTTACGACCTAGAGAATGATTTAATTAATATTGGATGTTTACAAATAAAATCCATTTTTATCATAGCTACGTTCCATACTTGGTCAGTAAATACGAGTTTTCAAAAAAAAAATTCAGCCCTAAGGTGACCCACATGTTTGGGTTGAAACGTTGGTTATTAAAAATTAAAATTTATTATTATTATAATATATTATTAAAGGTTATAAAAAATTAAAAAATTTTTAAAAAAAAGTCTGCGTCCTGATTATTTATCACCCATGTTATGTAGAACAGTCGACTAGAATCTATAAATTATTAAAATACAATTTAGTTTCAATTGATAAACTCTTGTTATTGATAATTTCCTTCAATATTATAGGTAATTATTTATTAACAATTAACTGACGGCCCAACAAACAGGTTTTAATGAGTAGAATTGGTTGGAACTCACAGTGTCTTACACAGGGGAATCTATGGAGAGGAGGCTTTCGGGCTAAATCATTTTGCCTCATATTTTTTCATCAAATATTCCTTCATATCGTCTAAGCTATTCATATGAGAAAGAAATTCATTTAAAAGAAGTTGTAGAGACTTAAATTTCCTTTAGAATATATAAGAAAATTAGAATTATACAATTTTGTATACTTTAATCTATTCTACAAAAAGTTCTCCTGCAATGGAATGTTTTCAAGATATAAGCGAAAATCCAAAAATTATAACCTTTCTTCCCCTTCTCCTCTCCCTCCCTCCATCGGCTCACCACCTAGACGTCAGGACTTCTGATATGTTCATACCCTGAGCGCCCTGAACAAGTTTCTGAAGGAATTGCTTACAGCCCTGGAGTAAGGGCCTTAAAACGACCTCATCGCA